TTTTTGGGGATTGACATTTGTACTGATACTCTAAAACTTCTATGAATTAAGTTTTTAAAAAACATTATAATAAAAACAAAGACCCTTTTTTACTAATGCATTTAGTCCTTCTAATATATACAGGCCTGTAAGTGAAATAAAAACAATTCAAATAATCGTTTCATTCTAAGATTCATATAGAAAGAATGATTGTCTCAAATTATATTAATAATTAACTGCCTGACCTTTTTTATATAATAATTTCAATTATTATTACAATTGATTTCACAAAAAATTCACAGTTTTCGCAAATAATTGCTTGACTATGTGCACATTTGTGTAACGTACTTATATATACATATGTATATTCATACATATGTACATGTTTTAATAATACCATTCAATACGCATCACTACCACTTTATAAATGTTCGAGTGACACTGTGGATTACAATAATATAACTATATACATATGTACGGTTACATAAATGTATCTTCCTTCAAGCACTATATACATATGTACATTCTTAGAATGTGTGTACATACATATGTACATATATAAGCTAAAATGTATATAATTTTAAAAGTGATTTCAAAGCTTGTGAACTTCGCAGCCCTGTATCACAATAAACAGTTCAATGCACTTGGCCATTTGTGTCATCAACCTCTTGCATTTATTTAGGTTAGGCACAGTATGGCATAAAATGTGTTCGACTCAATAGATTTGCATCGTACTCTCTTGAGCTTGAAACGGTGCTCATTCATGTTCATGAAAAAGTAGTCAAATATAGGAGAAATGAGAGAAATTTTAAGAGTTGGAATGAAGGAGCAGATAATGTTGAACAATTTTATTTGTAAGGCGTATGTGATATGTACGCGAGTTTGTATTCATACTCACATATGCATACTTAATGCTAAGAGTCGGATATGTCATCATTGAGAAAGACTACATTTGTATACAGAGTATGTATGCTTGCTCGTGTTTAGCTTGGAGATGAAAAGTAATTTAACAACTACCGATCTATGTATTATATTTTTGCATATATTTAGGGGCAGACATGCGTATAAGTGAATCCAACAAATGCTTTGATGCCTCAAAACTCCTTGCGATATGCTATGAGAAACATTTTCTTTACTATTGAATTCACACACTTAAATATACTGTAATACGACTGCCTACAATTAGAAACATTTATTATATAATTGAATCAAATATATATAAAATAATAACTAGGATGTTTGTATAATATAATAATAACACCTATTAATGTTACAGTTCAGTAACCAAAATGGGGAAAAAATAGTGCCTTTATTCATATCATTGGAATATGTTAGAATAAATTATACCACATAAGAACAATAGTATGCGCGTGCCTTTACAAATTGGCAAACTCATACGATTATTAAGTATTTTGGAATAACATAAATTTCCTACAAAGTATATAATCAATGTCAATTCATTCCTGCACATACAAATCTGGTTGTTAACGAAGTATTCCCTCAAAAGTAACAGAGATACATCACTTGTAGTTTTTGAAGCATTTGGTCTATTAAATAACTGTGGTTAGGGAGTGTGTATATATTGTACGCATAGAATTGTAAGCGTAAAAATGTATTTAATCAAGAACGTCTATTCGTTTTGAGGCATTAATTTCCAATTGTCGTTGTCCGATAACTGTCAAATACTACTACGTACTTTGCACGTATACACCTGCGTGTAACATTGCACATTTTACAGTGTGTGAAAGTCATTGCACTGTGCGGTACTTTCGGCGCAACAGAAAGACAGTTTGATACTGCGTTCGCTACCGTAGCCACACGTCGTTATAGTTGCAGCAAGAGTCAATACACGTATGTACATATACGTACGTAAACTTTTCTCATAAAAAACATAGTCGGTTTGAGAGGTTGATGGCTTCTCATTGGTGGTGACATGCGTTTAACGCGTACAAAAATATTCCTATTGACTCTAATTTGATAAAGGGAGGATCCTACAAGTTCTAAGTCACCTTCGAACGAACGAAAGAATTGATATATGTATGTATATACATACTTGGGTATATGAACATAACACAGTATGCAAATAAAATACATAAATACAACTTTTTAATGACACATCTGCACCTCCATAAATAATACCGATATATACACAACATTATAGACCTTTCTGGTGTACCTTAAGATTAAATTAGTAACTTTTAAAGAATATATAAAACATATCCCAAGCTTCTTTAAAACATTGTAAATGTTTTAGACCTTACTGTAGGTTAGTGCTATGAAGCAGACAATACCGCAATCACAAGTTATATTCGTTTAATTACTTTGATTACTTCTTTTACTCTTTCTTTCTATATTTCACCTTATTAAATATACAAGTAACTCATGTTTTTATATTATATGATATACAATCAATATAAATATATTCATGGAATTTTCTGGCTTATGCCTTCTCGCATACAAAAAACGTCTTTCTATTAAATTCGATTCAATGATTTTTAAACTGTATTTCAAATCATTGTTTGCAAATGCTGACTCTCTAAGTATTTGCACAAGATTTGCCGATAATTTTCCTTTAGGGTCGTATTGATTTTAAGAAGAGCTGCTTTGCATGCGCATGGATTTTCTCCTTGCAGCCGTCATACGCTCTTCATTGAGTGGTTGCAGTTGCGTATATTTTGCATATGTATAAAAAAGTATGTGTATATGTATGTATATTTACTTATAAAGCTATGTTCTTTCTCTGCATGACATAGTCAATGTATATTTGTGTACAAAATCTTAGAAGTGTTGGTGAGGTGAGTGAACGCAGCCGACCCGACTAAGCTGCGCATTTTTATCTTCTTTACATAAAAATACATACTTACCTAAATGCATACATATTTACTGGGGTTAGATATTTTTAATCAGTATTTTAAGAACCTTTATAACTAACCATATTATTAAATATAACCGTACCCTTTTAAACTTGTTTTCTACTAGTGATATTTATACCAAACATATAGATCAGATTTGTATATATAAGACTTACATGTATATCTATATAGGCAAATATTTATTTTTTATGGCTGTATCAGTACTCCAAAATGTTAATATTATGGTAGACGAAATCAGATTTTATCTGAATTTCGTACATGTGCTAAGCAAAGTTCAGTTTTCATGAGCTAATGATTTGCTTCTAATTGAGACCAACCTTAATGCTAACTCGATCTTTGGGTGCAATGCCTGGTAACTAGGTCAAGTAAATAGCAACCCCCGGCAGAAAAGGAAAATTAGCACAATGAACTTTTTTGATTTCACCTTGAGCGTTGTCGCCAAGCAAAGCAAATAGTTTATAAACACATAAATTGCTTATGTAATACATTAAAGGTGACAATATAGAAGTTCGTACGATATACATAAATAAAAAAGTACCAGAAATTATGCGAGTATTTATCAATTTGATTTGCACATATTTGTGTACATATGGATGTATATGAACACTTTTAATGCCTATCTACAATCTTTTTGTAAAATGTATTTTCTATACAAATTTTTAAATTGCGTTCAGTTTCATCATATTTCTATGGCCGAAGTGAAAAAAGCTCAAGTTTGCTACTCAATTCCATAAAAATACTCAAATTTATTTATATATGTTAGTATACTCGTATATGCGATTCTGGTGAGCGCAGCTAAGTATACTTGTATTATATATACATGTTTTTCCGCTCTCAAACTCAACATGTAGCTACAATCTCTGCAACTATTGTCCGCTAGTTATCTCGCCTAACGAGGCCGAAATGGAACTGTGTCCATCGTCGAGGTAAATGAACTTTGTCTGTTGCAAATTAAACTAATGTTTGAGCATTTACATGGAGGACATTTATTGTATACACATACATATATGTACAATACATAAACTTTAATACATACAAATACTCGTTTGCTTATACATATGTATGTATGTTTTTGCACATCTATTGCTCCAATGACAATCTACTGGGGGCTGCCATATGACGTCAATGGTAAAATTCTTAAAGTAGTGCAGTTTTACACTGTTATACGTCTGTACAATTTATGTGCAGTATGTATTTCTGGCCAGTGGTTAGGTGAGTAAAATTCAAATTATAGCACAAGTAAGTCATTGAACGCTATTTCTACAAATTTATATCAACTTTATATGGGGTAATCATTTGCAGTATTCTGTAATTGCGTGGCTTTTATCAGAACATCTAATCAATAAGTGTGTAAATTAATATTTGTAGTAGAAGAAAGGTTTACCACACATCTATGGTGAATAAAGTTTATATTAACTTTTATGACTACGTGGAATAATCCTCTTACTTTCCTCGAAAACTTGTTTATAGTTTATATCCACAATCATACATCCATATGTACATCATAATCTTTCGCATAGAAGTTTGCGAATCTGCCATCATTTCTTTATTTTCTGTATCATAAATTGTATGGCGGTATGTATGTATTAATAGGTACATTCTTTTATTAAAGAATGATGGTTTACAAAAACGGAGTATGCGGAATTTTGAGAAAAAAGCACATCATTACACCAATATGCATATATGTATTTGTACATATACATGATGTATACATGTATGTATATAACAAATTGAGATTTATTCCTTTCGGTTTTCAATAATTTTCCTTAATCGCCCTATTTTCATAGTTTGGCGCTTTTCATCACATTGTAAAATTAATGATTTTATTTTGGTATTTATAATTTTACTCGATTTCCCTCGATACTCATGTAAAACACTATATTTGCTACTCAGTTAGGCAAAGTGTTTTATAGGCTTAGAATCCAGCTATCTCATTTACAAATATATAGTAAAAATATATTACTCCTATAAATCTAATATTTATAGAAAAATTTATTTTTCAATTAGCGTAATAAATGTTGGCATTCTTAAACGTCCATGCTTATTTTATAGGGGTCTGGCTTTGTGATTTCGTGTGTACTATTTGGATATTAAAACAATACCCTAGCAACTTACATCAAACTATACTTATATTATTCCTTTGAAATCTATGGAAAAATCCTTTAGTAGACGTATGTATGTATGTATATATAAAATTAAATATTTTGTTCATAATTGAATTGTTGCTCATAACTGCTAAATAATTCTAGTTCTTTCTGTTATCTTTATAAATATTTATACCACGAGATTGTGCAGTGTGCACTTTACTATTCGTTTCTATGTCATTGACCGTTCGGTAGCTAAAGTGAACCCTGGTTGCATATTTGCTCTCTTCAGATATCTCTAACAATAACATTTTTTCTTCGCGCTCTCCCTTCAGTGCATACTGGTAGGCTCTCACTTGATTATTTTTCGCGTAAACTCTAGAACATCGTTCTTCTGCATACGTACAAATGTACATGCACATGTAGTTGTTTGAATGCATACATGGATTATTACATTCTTTGCTCAAGCTGGTTCAGACTAGAGACATATGTGTATACATATATATGTGTGTGTTTGTATGTCAGTGCACCAGCAAAAAGTGTGTTGCAATAATTGCAATGATATTGTAGGTGTGAGTAATTAAACTCATACTATGAAAATGAAAATATTTCTCATTTAATACATTGGGAGCCAGAATATTATGAACGTCAATGTAGTTGTTCTGAGCAAAAGCAAATACGACGAATATGCAAAGCTAACTGCTCGTTGATATTCGTAAACATACACGAATACACGCAAGTATATTATTATGTAGACTAGTAAATGAGCTAAATTGAATGGGTATAGGCACTGAGCGAACGAACGAGCTCCATATTTCGAGGTTGCTGACCGAGAATTAGGTCACGACAATGATGGAGTTCGTTGAACTAATATAAGCAACAATGACAACGCCGTCATCACACTCTTGATTTGCTAGTCGCATTGCATCCCTATGAATTTCATACTAGGTGTGTACATTATCATGAACAATATTTTTAAAAGCAAAGTTTTAACAAATCAAATCACTCGTCGGATATTTTTATTTTTAACTATTTTTTGTAGAATTTATGTATTTTATCTCGTTTAAAATATGAAAGAATATTGATCATTTAACCTGGAAAATAATGTCAATAAATATTTTATTTTATAATATTTAGACACAAGTACATACATATTTATATACATACACATATGAACATATTAGGTATGGTGTCCTTAATAAAATCACTATTTATGTACGTTCCCTCTAAAATAACCTCTTGCAATCAGCAAATGCTCGATACTTGAATGCTTGAAATTGGTTATTACGTCAAAGAAACACACTCAACATATTCAACTCAATTTAAAAAACCACTCAACATTAGATAGTTGATTTGAGTTTTTTGAGTTCATTTGGGGGTCATTGCTCGCAGCTAGCTAGCGTGGAACGAAGACGCTAACAATAGCAAGAGCAACTACAACAGTGATTCGTGTTGTTCGGAGCACGACAACGAATAAACAATTCGAGGTTGAGTTGAGCAAATCATTCGCAATTCGTCTGTCAAACGTTACGGTTCAGTATATGTGCGAATACTTTGAAAACATTTTCTGTTCAGAGAGATTTTAGTGAATATTTATAAAAATAAAAAAAAAACATCTTCCAATAAATTTTGTTGACAACCAATCTGCTACAATGCGCTCCAAACATATTCAGTGAATGAAATTGCAACCCAACGCGTAATGCCCATCGTACAAAAATAGAATAATTAGGAAGGCAATATTTTAAAACTGAAAAGTTTTTATGTAATTAAAGCCGTTAATAACTTATAAAAAAAGCAGATTAAATTCTCAAAGCCGTGTTCAAGTGAAACGTGAAAACCAACGATAAACTTATCGCTAATTTGTAGTTGGCGGGAAATTTCCTTTAACAAACCAAAAATACTCTAAATAGAAATTATACTGAATTAGAAATATGTTCCTTATAATAATATTTTTCTTATAAAATCAAGTTTGGTTTAAAAATATAAATTGTGTTGAAATGGTTTGTGCTACACAAGAAGTAAATGGCAATGAGCGCCAGCAGCAACATCAGCGGCAACCTATTCAATTACAACATATGCCAGAAGTATCACAGCCTCGGCAATTAAAATCACTTGCAATACAACCTACCGAGACCCAATTCACGAAAATAGTATTGTTGTCAACATCTGCAACAAATATAAATCAAAACAACGTTACCCAAACCACTAGTAGTCGGCAGTTAAAGCAACAGCATTCCGCTTTGGTAAAACTTTTAGAGTCGGAGCCCATAACAAAAAAAATAATAACCAAAATTACAGATACAAATATTGGTGGTGCTGATCTTCTTATCAAGCCTGAAATAAATGTAAAACAAAATTATCAAGAATGTTTGAATCTTAAAAAGAAAAATGAACAGAAGCAACAACAATTAGTTCACAACGCTTCTGCAACTCAATGTAAAAGACTGAAATCAAATGGGATTAATCTTCCTTTACTAGTCGAACATACAACTACAAGAAATCACAGTGTAAAAACAGGAACTACATGTAGTTTTACTATAAATGCCATTTGTGAAACAAAAAATCAAGATTGTATGGATGATAACGAGAATAATAGTTTGAACAAATTAAAATGTAGAGATTTAGGGGTTAATGAAAGAATAGCAAATACTCCCCTCCACAGCAAATTATCGATCCCACAAACCGATACGGCGACTTTTAATTCAAGTAATGATATCTTTGAGCAGTGTCAATGTCCATGGAAAAAAATACGTTTTGCTAGAGAATGGAAGCAACGTGAACAGCTACAAAAGAGAAAGCAACCAGAGTTACAGTCCGTTGAAGGCTCGAAACAAATTTTGGCTGACGAAAAATTAGAAAATAATGATGGAACTAAAGAAAGCGATATTACTAACTTCAATTCGAAAGGTATAGTGGCAACACCTGAGTTTGCCTTGTCCAAACAAACCGAAATTGAAATAACTACACTTTTGAAACAACAACAGCAATTTCGACGTGATAGTTCTGATAGCAATTCTTCCTTACTAAGCAATTCCAGTACGCAATCTACTACAAGTGTTAACTTTTGTACATGTACGCCACATCAACTGAAGTATCAACAAGATAGTGTTATTGGAAACGATACAAGTTCTTCATTTTGTCAATTTAGCGATAATGATACAAGTAATACCGATATTGGGTGTGATGATGAACTTTGTATGGTTCATAGTACATCACACCAGCAATCACAACTTGAACAATCGGCAATGAACGATCTTTGTCAACAATTTGATGATAATTTAGAAACATTTACTAATTTTACACCTGAAGTGGATTCAAAACATGTACTAAATATTGATTTACTGAATTCAGGTGTGAAAAATATTTCGCATCATCCCAGCTCTCATAAGATTGATGCAGAAACAGGAGTACCTGATGTACGTTATATTTGGTTATTTAATACATGTTGCTAAAAAATTTTTTTGTAAAACGCAAACTTTTTATGAACTGCTTACTAAATATGAATATTTTACAATTCCAGGGATTTTTCAGGCGCTCTATTCAGCAAAAAATTCAGTACCGTCCGTGTACTAAAAATCAACAATGTAGCATTTTACGAATTAACCGTAATCGCTGCCAATATTGTCGGTTAAAAAAATGCATTGCAGTAGGAATGAGTCGTGATGGTAAGTAATATTTAGATGTAAATTGATTTTCAAAATTTTGATACAATAATATATATACAGATACATGTATATCTGTATGTAAGTAAGCAAATAAATGTCTGTATAGCCATAGGTATATTACTACACGATTGCACATACTCGCATAGGCAATATCTGGTTTATTAAAAACGATTGTAATAAAAATAAGAGATTGACTCTCACTTTAAATCACTTGGTATACTTGACAATACTTTTTAAGTCGTTCATTCTCTATAAACGCGAACGAAATGTATTAACGGTATGCATGCATACGTGCCACATACCGAAAGAGATCACGAGCTATAATACAAATAATACTGTTTCTCCTAACAGATATCTACTCATTCACTCTTCGTAGAGTTTAGTGCGAGGAATACAAAAATACAGATTTTATGAACTGGTACATGTGTACATACGAATACATATAAGTATGCGATCGTACGTAATCATGAGCTTTACCTACATGTGTATGCACCGGCCATGAGTTCGTTGACCAACCATGAACGAATTTTTTAAAGCAATGACAATAAAAGCAAAATCATTACGAATTTCAATGAAGCACACACATGCATATAGGCGTAATGGTAGTTGGGTTGCTAATATGTATCTCAATAACGTAAGAGGGGAATAATCAAATGCCTACGTGAGTAATGTATATATTTGTAGAAATTCTTAGACAAATCCTCTATTAAAAGAAGTTATTTAGCGTATAACTGATCAGATATCAGATAGGTACGTAAGTATGTAGTAAGCTCGTGTTTTGAGGTATACGTATGATAATTTTAAATAGGATTTAATATAAAAGGACTAAATTAATTTGCATGTTTCTATATGTACACATACTGTGAACATACACATGAATCTTAATTGCACGATATGGGTTGACATACATACATATAATATGCATTCATATGTAACTATATACATATAAAAGTAGGTGTTTACTTTGGATATAAATGCCCAAGGTTCATGTGATATATAAAATAGTTAGCATGTTGCCAACACAGAGCACAAAACACTTTCACTTTTCCCATTTGCTTTTGAAAATATATACATACTTAGGTATGTATTGTACGCATCATACTTGTAGTACGTATACATACATAGCCGTATATGCGGATGGTCAGCACTGAAGTGTCGGGTGTAAACGGACAAACGAAAGTGTAGGCAACATTTTACAATTTTTAAATTAAGCAATAATTAAAAAAATACAAATATGTTTTGCTAGAGTATGCGGTAACCATGATACAACTAATAATCGACAATTGTAGCCATTATTCTTAGAATTATTGTTAAGTTGAGCAACCAAAGTTAGAGATATTGAATCTTATAGTTTGCAGATGAATTTCTATTTAAATTTTTATAATGTCAATTCGTGCTATATTCGACTATGATAACCTTTCGTAATATATTCATTTTATATATTATACTTAATCTTTTATAAAGAATCCAAAGTTTTTTGCTACCAAGATGCCATTTTTCCTTATGACTATTGTTTATCGTGTACTCGAAATGAAATCGAAATTTTTATCTACACACTAATACATCTTTATTGTTATAAAATGCCAATGAAGTGGTAGTAGCGAAAGTTTTAATGATTTTTAACATCATATGAAAGACCTGGATGAACGGTTGTTGTTGGACTTTCGACACTTACAATTCCAACTGTTGTTACAGCAATTTATATCTTACACAGTCTAGCTCGAGCTACTCGCCTACACAACAATATTATTCAATTTCACTCCACCTCTCTTTTTATGTTTTTTGAATTTGAGTGATTGTTGTGTTGTGCGATGGGTCGACGTCATTGCTTGCACGAGTTCATTGTCCGCATCTGATGTTCGTAACTCTAAAACTAGGTCAGCCATTTTTGTTTGCCAGCGCAATACATACAGCAATTTGGGCTTCGTTTACAATTATTGGGTGAATTATAACCATATAATTGCGGGAGACATTGTAAAGTACACATATGTTTATATGTACATATGCACTGGTAAATGTATTTTGATACATTCGTACGTAAATACCAATGCATATGCAAATATGTATTTATAGATATGTATATACATATATAATATCTGCTTACTCAATAATCAATTACGATTGAGTTAAGCTCGAGGTTAAGTTCAGAACTAGCACAGCTATTTAATATCCATCTTTATTACTGCAGTATATGAATATTTAGTATCTCAAAATTATGGATCTATGTACATATATGCATGTATAAGTATATTAATATATACTTATAAATATAAAAACCGTGTGCAATTTTTTCCTTTATTATTTTAAACAAAAACTTGATAAAAATTTAAATTTCCCGTAAATTGTAAAACTCTTAGAGGATACATATGTATTGTATATAAAAGTTAGATGTACATTTTTGCCCACACATGTTGAGGCAATAAACTTGTTTCAGGTAATCATATATTTTACTTACATACGTATGTACACACAAAACATACGTATGGACATGCATAAGCAGTTTTATTCCCGCGCGCTTTCTCTTTGTCCTAGCATTCGTAATATGACTTGGGTTTCAGATTGGATGTACAAACACATGGAACGTGTAGGTAAATATGTATGGTTGTGTGTAAAATAGGTCGAACCTTCAAAAAGTTCATTTACCTCAGATACGCAACTTTATCAAATGAAACATGGTACAACCTAAATGAGCAACCTCAAGTCGCAAAACGAGAGAGTTACCATACGAATGAGAGAAGGCCAACCGAATGAACGACCGAACGAATGGCAGACGAGTTTTTGAGTGATTTTTAAACTAATGCAAATACTCCAAAACAATTTGACTCAAATTATACTTTCGATTTTCTTGGTGAATTGAAAAACAAATATGAATTGTGCTAACTTCTCAATTCTAAAAGTATCTCAATTCTAAAAGTATCTAAGAAACCTGTTCATTAGTTCAGCATGCCCAGATTAGTTAGTTTAAAATGTGTACATAGGGAAATTTGGATACTGTTGCAGCGGATTGTGTTGAAAAGAGACTATAATATCGCTAATTTTCAAATATGCTGTTTCTTATGATTTCGAAAATTCTATTTTACATAATCAAATACATTTTTTGTATTACAAATTTGCTGGCAAAGTAGTATGTAGACTTCCAGATTAAAAAACGAACACTGTTATGTACAAAAATAAAATATTTTGAAATTTGAGAGTAAACTTGTGCTCATGTCATTGATTATGCATTTGAGCTAAACGCCGTCCAATGCTCCCAACGCAAAGCGCAGTAGTTACTTATGTATGGATATGTACAGGCATAGCTCAAGCCGATGTTGATTCTGAAGTATAGAACGAAAAAAACCTCTCTTTTTCATATGTTGAGCGAATGAGTACGGCAGTAGGACATATTTGTATATACATATGTATGTAGATATAATTTTGAACAGTTCATATAATTGCTTTTTATTTTAAAGTATTCTGAACTCGTACATATGATTTTGTCAAATGTATTTATATATATATAGGTACATATGTATATATTATCGTGTATTCGCGACAAAAATACTAACAGCTATATTTAAATGCATTCTCAACTGTTTGCGTCGCCTTCAATAGCCATTGCTTTGTCTTGGAGTGCAGCGACATTTATCTGGGTCATGCACGGTCATTCACTTTTGTTGATTGCAATCAAACGTGCAGTCAGCCATACTTAGTCACTTATCGTGAAGTGTGTTCTACATTTATATGGAAGTGAGTGTAATATGTATATGTATGTGTATGTATATGTAATTTGGTCTATACAATGCATGCGTGCCAATATTTAGGTATGGTAAATGTTTGATCCAGCAAAATATTTTATTTGATAGATTCCCCTATAATTAGGAAAATATAATAATTAAATATTTTTCAGTAGAAAGAAATTAGGTGATGCACCAAAAATGTACAAAATAAAACAATTATAAGTTTAATGTCGTAAAGGACATTATTAATTTACCCATAATTAAAATAAATAAACATAATTTTTATGCAATATCAACATTTAGATTTTACCTCGGAAATGAAGCATTCATTAAAATTTTGTTTCCTCAGAACTTACTCTCCTATTTTATCTCAACTGAAAACTTTATGCAACGGTTGATGTAAATTCCTATGTGATGTAGAGTAATTCAAAATATATGCATTAAATAAATACATATACAGTGGTGGTCACGAATATAGCACACACCTTAATGCTTTTAGTAGGTATGGATTTTCTTCCACTGATCTAAAACATTCTACAAAAAAAATTCAGTTGTTAGTTTGCACTTCCACAAATGTCGAATTCAGTTACTTTTTATACGTTTTTTTTTTGTCATCAGTTATAAAATAAACGCGAGTTGTGTCAATAGTGCTGGTTTAAGGCTGGACACGAATTTAGCACATTTTCTAGTTTGGTGATATTTGCGGTTTTAGTTTTGGTGTGGACAACAAAATTCGAGGTAATTATAAACAGAAGTTTGAGAAATTATAAAACTAGATTATAAATATTGTCGATTGTAATTAGATATGGCAAAAGGTCGCTAGTGTTCAGGAACAAAGAGGAAGCTAATCCAAAAGCTTAAGAGTCGAGGATAATCAATGGGAGAGAGAACTCGCTTACTGAAATGCTCACGGAAAATAGTGTACAACTCTATACAACAAGTAAAAAAATTTGGCAGAACAAAAAACAGACTCCACGACCGTTAAAAACGTCTCCAAAGGAAGGCAAAATATAACGAAGAAATTGAAGGCGAATTACGATATTGCTGTATCCTCTAGAACTGTAAGACATCGGCTTAATGTACAAAATTTGCGAGGATGCATAGCACAACGAAAACCTCATGTTTCAAAAAAAAATTAAAATATAAGGTTTACGTTCGCAAGAGACCATATTGAAGAACCACTTAGTTTCTGGAAAAATGTGCTTTGGAGCGATGAATCGAAATTTTCTAGATTCCAGGTACACAATTTAAACCGTAAAACAGGGTAGGGGACATGAAATGGTTTGGGGAGCGTTTCATTGGTATGGTGTAGGCCAATAGTACAAATTTACAGCACAATGGATCAATATTTGTAAAAGAACATACTTGAGAACCTTATAATATTCTTTGTTGAGAAAAATTTGCCTTTAAAGTGGTTTTTTATGTGTGATAACGATGCAAAGGACATATCGCGACTTGTGAAGAGTTCCTTAGAATTCCAAAAAATCGATGTTTTATAACGATGTCTCCAATTGAGAAAAAAACCGAAGAACTTTGCCGAATTGTGGACTTAAATTCAAAATGCTTGGATTTTTTATTTGAAAGTTTCAGTAGAAGATGTACAGAAGTTATCAAAAATAGAGAATTTCCAACCAAATACTAACATTAGAATTGAATTCTGTCAATGTAAGTTTCAAAAGTCGAATTAAAATGACGATGAAAAAAATTGGTTAATGTGCTAACTTCGTGTCCAGGTAAGAAAGTTTTATTTAATGTTTTTCTTTACATATGGATAATTATTATAAATAATACCACACAGAAAATGTGCAATCACATTATCATTTCCAAACCATGTTTAATTTTGAAACTTTTCACTTATTTATCGAAATTAAACGAGAGTGCTGAACTCGTGACCACCACTGTACCTTTATAATATATAAGCGTGCATTTAAAATAAGTTTTAAACAAAACTTAAAGATTATAATTATCATTATTCACTTCTTTAACAGAATTTATCGTATTTACTACGTATTGAACGTATGTATGTACATATGTATTATAAAGTGTCAAAAATATAGATTTACAATAGTTTATTAACATAGAAAATAAACTTTCCAAAAAACAACTATAGCTAGTTAAGCGTACATGTTCATATGCACATATATTGGGTATATGCTTTGTAAACAGCGGACAGACAGCGTACTTTCACTTTTACTTTCTTTCTTTAAAATATAAAGAGTGAAGTACTAAAAAGCTCATCTAGAGATACAACGAAGAGTTCAAAAAACTTGATGCATTTGATTCCTATACACATGCATATACATATGTACATAAAATACTTATGTATTAATATCATAACATATATAACAACTACACATGAAAAAGTATTATATATTGACCGTATTTGCAAGCGAGTATATACTAATAAGTACACTTTCGGTAGTACCTCGTCATGGACATACGTCAAACTATGAAAATTAGTTGTAGATATGGGATGAAGTGTTAAGCCTGCATTAATAGTATAGTATAAATAAATGTACCTAAAAATTACACTAATATTTTATACTATGGTGAAAAGCTTTTTAATGATTTACGGAGCTTTAATTTTCTGTACTCACAATTTTAAAAGTCTGTAGAAAACTCTCTTAATCGTGGTGGAATATGTTCCTGTATGGTTAGGTATTTGATGAAAATTATAGTTAATTTAACTTTATTAATTAAAAACCTTTATATGTTCAAGTTAGTTTATTTCAATAGGAAAAGGTAGATAGCCACATACAAATTTGTAATGTTTGTGATATTTTTTATACTTGATACGAGTACAAATATATTTTTTAATCTCTTCATACTGAAAATAAGGGAACTTGTAAAAGAAGAGTAAAATTGCTGCTCTCATTTTTGAATGCAACCAATCTTAGCGTTATCGGTCAGTTGTTTTATTTATGTATACATAAGCGGCATTATAAGCTTTCAAAGTTCAGTTACCACGTTATTTAAGTGATTTAACTTGTGTGGTAAAATGAGGAGATGGATTCTCCTCTTTCGGGGTCTTTATATTTTTAATTTATGCATACACTAATAAGAGTACTAGGAGAAAAGTTGCTTTGAGCGTTGCCCTTGCTTCTGCATCAGCTTTAATGTATTATGTATCTCATATTTTGTTTTAGTCCATACTGTCTTTTGGGTATATTCATAACATGTTTCTGATTTTTACAGTTAGTCGCGTTCGAAACCTTGTCGAGTTTTGTCACGTTTTATTCAATGGTTGCTCGTAGACTAATAAAATATTAAAGCACAAACCAAAAGAAAAAAAACGAAAAATAAATCGTTTAACGTTAGCTTAAAAATTATAAAGTTCTTGTCTTGTATATCTATTAATTTTTTAGGTTTATTAGTACGAATAAAAACAAAGTATTTGTAAAATTCAAAAAAATGTTCATAAGTGAAATAAACAAATGCCGATATTATGTATAGTTCTCAATCACAAATATTTTTTATGAATATACAACAGTAATATTACGTGTTTATGAAAAAAATCAAATTCAAACACATGGCAAAATCAAAAATTTAAAACCCGTATATCCTTTATTTGTTTAATATGTGTATAAATAATTATTCGTGTTTCTAAAAAAGTTGTAAAAAAAGTGTACCTGAATTAAATACCAAAAGTGTATGTATCCAAAAGTCAACAACGTAGTTTTAAATATGCCTATGCATACATACATATTAGTAAAACTAAATTATATATAAAAAATATATACATATATGTATATTCATGGAAAAATCATTTTGCCAAGTTAATAAAAACCAGAAAAATGACCGAAGAATTACCAATTCTCAAAAGCATACTTAAAGGCAATTTTAAATATCATAATGCACGTAAGTTTCACCTTTTTAATATTAAACCGACATAATATACCTATTTGAATGTGCTTATTTACTTTTAGATATAAGTTTAAATATAGTTAAATTGGCCCACTTTCTTAAAAGAGAATTTCTGTTAATCTACTTGTATTGTGAGTGATTTCAATGTATTTCCATCGATCTTACTATTGGTGCTTTAAATCATGCGTTAAATTGTCTGTGTTCTCATTTTTTACTTTCTTTTTTCAGTTCACCAATATTAACAACTACACTTCGCATTCAAGTTTTTTTATTACAACTTTTTTCTCTTCTATGAAAAATATGTTCATCGGAGAAAAGTTTTCATTTTCGATTTCATTTGACCCCAATTTCGCCGGCCTGCATAAATATATGCCAGTGAGATTTCTTCAGTACTATAATCGTTGTTATTGTGCGCTTCGTTTTTTATCTGGGGCGTGCAACGACAAACGCGCAGACGCAAAATGGTTAACTTGTTGACTTCTTCGTAACTATTTACCTCTCACTTTATTTTCTGCTGATATGAAAACGAGTGTACATATGTATGTAAAACACTATAAACTATTTCTACCTGTTTAAATTTTGTTACCAATTTTGTTCGCTAGTTTATTTACTGTGTTTTGTCCACACAATATAGTTAAGCGACCGCAATAGCGAAGAGAGAACTTTTTGTAGTCATAGTCTTTAAATTTCAAAATTTAATTTCTTTGATATATAAACAATTTTTTACTGTGTTGGTACTCAATAATTTCAAATATGCATGTACCTATATGAAAGGTCAGTAAATTATTTGTATTTAGTGTTGCGATCTTATAAATTAAAAATTTACTTTTATTATACCTTCTTTCTTTTAACATCAAATTTGTTCTCGTTTATCAATTTACTTTCATTATTTTCTGTTAAGGAACTGAAAGTGCCATTGGTAAAAGTTTACAATATAGTTCTTGTTTCACAATGACTAATGCAACTCCTTTCAATTAAAATATTATTGTAATAAACAAGAATAAAACGTTAGTAATATGTGGATAAATAGAGTCAACGGAAAATAGATCAATATGACTTTGTATGTATTGTTATTATGTCCTTTTATCATCCGGTCACAAAAATAGATTTGAACAATACGTTGGTAATATGAACAACGTATGATAAAATTCAATCTTTGGAAAGTGGTTTATAACTGAATATAATTAATATCATTCATATCAGACTTTTAGCTAAACTTATTCCAATATAAACTAGCTATATAAGTGCCTATTTATTTTATAATTATTAAATGTTATTTACAAACCACATAATAAATATTTATACTGATATAACTTTGTTTTTTCTATTTGCAGCGGTTCGTTTTGGCCGAGTCCCAAAACGTGAGAAAGCGAGAATATTAGCTGCTATGCAGCAAAGCACACAAAATCGTGGCCAACAACGTGCGCTAGCTGGAGAACTAGATGATCAACCAAGACTTATAGCTGCTGTACTTCGGGCTCATTTAGAAACTTGTGAGTTTACAAAGGAAAAAGTTTCTGCAATGCGTCAAAGAGCAAGAGATTGCCCATCATATTCTATGCCAACTCTATTGGTAAGTAAATATAATATACTTTCCTATATATTGAAGATAATATATTAAAAGCTATCTCTGTAATTATTACTGCTGTATTTAAGTGAAAATTTCTTAACGGTTAAATGCCTTAGATAAATATCATCAGTCTTTAAATACATGTGCAGGTATTAAAAATAAAAGAAAATAACTTGCGTAGTTATTATAATATTTTTTGTGTTTTGTACGTTAAAGTTTGTTAATATTTTATTATTCAAATTTATGCAAACGTCAGCAAGAATACTGCATATAACACAGCAAATCGTAACAAAGCAGAATATTATACTATATTTGTCTACAACAAATAAGAGCACAATAATAGCCTTGTACCGAAGTTTTTTAACCTTGAATTTGACTCTCGTTGATAATAAAATAACGAAAAGACCAATAAAAAACACCTCAAATTGTTCCAAAGCATTTTTTTTTTAAATCGCTCAAACCAAAATTAAGTCTTGCTCTCCCAAAGCATACACACTGGAAGGCAAAATTAGAGTTTTTGCTCCTCTGACAAATTATTAGCTATATACTCGAATGTGTCCCTCTTTATGTCTAATAGCAATTCCTAATACCTTCTTTTTCACTGGAAGTTTTTCTTGTGGAATTTGAGAAGCGTAAATGGGCTGTCATTTAAATTGAATTGTTACTAAATAATGACTATTAAATTTCGGCCTTTACTATATCAACGGTGCTTTAATTTTACACAGACACATGCGCACTTGCCCAGCCAACGGACGTCACAGTGACATCAACACAAACAAATAAATAGTAATGTACGTATGAATATTCAGAACAGCAACTTAAACATATAAGCACACGCGCTCAAATACTCAAATATATAGCCATATAAAAAATCTAAATAGAATACAAGCATGGTACACATGACCTTGTAAAATACGAGGAAATTATTTCGCAGCTCCGTGTGCTTGCAATTCTCATCACCCCCTTTGTCTTGGCTATTGCTTTCTTGTTTTGGTTCGTCTATCGCTCAAGTGTTTTTTGTGTGGCTACTCGTATAATACTAGTGTGATATACAAGTACACACGTAAGTTTAACAATCTTTATAATAACAAATACATATACACCTTTGTATATACGTATGTATGTGCATATAAATATTCATATTTTTCGGTTCTTCTTGATTTGCAAAATTTAATAAAATTAAAGGCTAAATAAATATATACATACATACAAATAGATATGTAGAAATGTACAAATGCAAATTATTGTCTGGAATAAGTAGACCTGAAATATTGATGCAATTCTTTTCACGCATTTATAATAATAAAATTTTACCCACTTTGAAAACGAATATATACCAATTTTCGAAATATGTCGATGAAGTTTGATATAATTTTATATAAAATGAAGATTCAACGTAAAGTTCGTTGTTATTTTTAAAATTAATAATGTTTTCGCTATTTTTATCTGTTGATAAGAATTATTTTAATTTTTGGTCTAGTATATAAGGTTGTCATATATCTCCCTTCCGCCTTTTTGTCTTTTGAATTTCGCGGCTATGTACAAACCGCTACAGAGCTCGTATCTGGCAACACTATACATAATTTGAAAGGTCTTGACATAACCTACAAAACAACGCTATGCATGATTAGTTTGGATATTGCGTTCAACAGTTATAGACGTGTAAACATGGAGTTCACTAACGCCGAAATTCGCGCTATTTTAAAGTTTTCCTTCGTTAAAGGCAAATCCGCTAGAGAAACGTTCCGTGAGATTAATGGTGTTTTGGGGGATGGTACTCTATCACTTCGAACCGCGGAGGAATGGTTTCGACGATTTAGAGCCGGTGAAAACGACACCATGGATAAGCCAGCCGGCGAAAGACCTGTGACGACAAATACCGATCAAATCATGGAATACATCGAGTTAGACCGGCATATGGCATCTCGTGACATCGCCCAGGAGATGGGAGTTAGTCACCAAACCATTTTGAACCATCTGCAGAAGGCTGGATACAAAAAAAAGTTTGATGTTTGGGTGCCGCATAATTTGACGCAAAAAAACCTTCTGGACCGAATCAACGCCTGCGATATGCTGCTGAAACGGAACGAACTCGTCCCATTCTTGAAGCGGATGGTGACTGGCGACGAAAAATGGATCACATACGACAATATCAAGCGAAAACGGTCGTGGTCGAAGGCCGGTGAATCGTCCCAAACAGTGGCCAAGCCGGGATTGTAAGCTTTTCCAGTATATTTAAGTTGAAATTAAACAAAAAAGCTTTAGTTAACGCCCTTGGAAAAAGTCTTGACAACACAGCAAAAGTTCAAGTTTAAAGTTAATACATCATATCTGAATCACAATGTGATAATTTTGGAATGTCTTGCAAATCTCTATTCACTGTTTTAAGTATCCCCAAAATTTTTTGTACACCCTTGGTAGGGGTATGTATGTATTTAAACAACCATACTGCACGAAGATGAAACCTTGAACTATAGTTCGTCGACCTTGAATAGAATATAAAAACGAATCGTAACGAATATACAAAACTTAATTTATGCACACATTTAAGAAGCAAGCTGTTTTGTTTCCATTCTAAAATGTTAAAGAAAAATAAGTTCACTCTGCACTCTTTAGCTTAAAATAGTGCTTTAGAGAATGATTTTATTTTGAAGAATTTTTCTACACATTTGAGCTTTTGCCAATATAATTTCTCTTTTTAAGTGCTTTTAACAAGAAGTAAATGCTCTTACTCTGAATTATACTCTCGTTGGAATACAAGTCACAAAGAACTTAATACATACATAACCGGCGCATGTGCTCAAAAAAGCGATTTTATATTCATAGATATCGATTTAAATGTTTTGTGGAAAATGTGACCTTCACTTAGACCTTAACATTGCCGTCAAAGTATATACATATGTGTATAGATATGTACATATATACATATATATGAATATATATACGCCATCAGGCGTTTGAAGGATGCAAAAAACTTACCAGTAAATGAGAAGCGGTTTTTATTATAACAACGAAATATACACTACAAAATAGAAATTTTTATTATATAATATATTTTAATATGATGTTTTTTTAAATTTCATTAGCACAATTTACTTATTACAAAAAATTCTCTTTTATATTTTTAGGCATGTCCTTTGAATCCTGCCCCTGAGTTACAATCAGAGCAAGAGTTTTCTCAACGATTTGCCCATGTCATACGTGGCGTTATTGATTTTGCTGGTATGATACCTGGTTTTCAACTGCTTACACAAGACGACAAATTTACTTTGCTAAAAGCAGGCCTCTTCGATGCGCTGTTCGTGCGTTTGATTTGCATGTTTGATTCCTCTATTAATAGTATTATATGCTTAAATGGGCAAGTTATGCGCCGCGATGCAATACAAAATGGAGCAAATGCACGTTTTTTAGTGGATTCCACATTTAACTTTGCTGAGCGAATGAATTCCATGAATTTATCAGATGCAGAAATCGGACTGTTTTGTGCGATCGTTCTTATCACACCAGATAGGCCAGGCTTACGAAACATCGAATTAATCGAAAAGATGTACAGCCGATTAAAAGGTTGTTTGCAAAAAGTTATAAATCAGAACCGTGCTGATCAACCGGATTTTATGTCTAAATTGTTAGACACAATGCCTGATTTGCGAACACTTAGCACACTTCATACAGAGAAATTGGTAGTTTTTCGTACAGAACACAAAGAGCTATTACGTCAACAAATGTGGACAATGGACGATGAGCAATCAACGAATGTTAAGAGTCCTGTTATCAATTGGGATGATGCTCGTATGGACGTTGAAGCGAAAAGTCCTCTTGGTTCAGTATCAAGTACTGAGTCAGTAGATTTAGAATACACCACCTCCTCTACCACATCGGCGCCACAGCATCGCGTTAATAATCTAGAACCTCAACCGTCAGCATTAGCTTCGTCAACTCCTTTATTAGCGGCAACATTATCAGGTCCATGTCCTCTACGTAACAGAGCCAATTCTGGCTCATCCGGCGATTCTACCACTGAAATGGATATTATGGGCTCCCACGCACACCTTACCCAGAATGGGTTAACAATCACTCCAATTGTTCGATCGCATTCCCACCAACAGTTGCATCATCATTTGACTACTGGCGCGCCAAACAGATATCGAAAATTAGACTCACCAACGGATTCAGGTATCGAATCTGGTAATGAAAAGAATGATTGTGTTATTAAAGCTGTAAGTTCTGGAGGCAGTTCGTCTTGTTCTAGCCCACGTTCTAGTGTAGATGATGCATTAGATTGCACAGATACACCTACAGCAAGCAACAGCCAAGTTACATTATCTGTTTCTCCTGTTCGTTCACCTAAACCCATCGCTCCAACATCCACCTCATCTTTAACTGGAATAGTTAGTACGCCAAATTCCCTCAAACGTCAAATTGTCGAAGATATGCCAGTATTGAAGCGAGTATTAGAAGCACCGCCACTTTATGATACCAATTCACTAATGGATGAAGCTTACAAGCCCCATAAAAAATTTCGAGCTTTACGCCATCGTGAAATCGAAACTGCAGAGGCAGATCCAAGTTCCACATCTAATAATTCTTTAAATACAGAGAAAATAACCACACCAAAAGCTGATACAAATAACACGGTACAAAGTTCGCAAATGGTAAAAGCAGCAAATAGTCCACCGCCGTTTATTCAATCAACGAGTACAGCTTCTACTCCATTTGTTACTTCCCATTGTACAGTAACAACAGCGTCATCTCCACATTCCCACGCTATAACAGGAAGTTCTTTAAACAGCCATCAGCAGAGTCAGCTACATATGCATTTGACACGTCACACGAGTTCGAATCATAGTACTAGTAGCAATGGTAACCAAAATCATACTAGTAATGTGCCGCCACAACAGCAATCTTCTTTATCTAGTACACATTCAGTGCTTGCTAAATCTCTAATGGCTGAACCACGTATGACTCCTGAACAAATAAAGAGATCTGATATCATTCAAAACTACATTATGCGCGATCAAGCATCGTGTTCTTCAGGATCAATGATTCCTGGAACTCCAACCCATACCAGAACACGTAGCCCAGCACCAGTGCAGCATTTATCCCCAATGAACCAGACTTCCCATCATTATACACCTATTGCATCCCCATCTTCAAGTAATTCTCCAACTTGCTCAAGCACTATCTGCAGTTCATCTTCGACTACAACAATAACATTAACTTCACCACCAAACTCTATTAACCCAACTCCTACACGATGGCACGGTCATTCAGTTATAACGACAACAAGCATCAACCACCGCCAGCAATCTGTTTCACCAAGTAGTAATGGGTCTTCTTCATCATCATCTTCATTAAATGCCTGTCAATATTTTCAATCTCCACACTCCACATCAGCTGCAGTTTCTCCCCCTCGTCCGTCACCATCAGCTATTCATTCACCCCCACGTTTATTAGAATTGCAAGTGGACATTTCCGATTCTCAGCAACCGTTGAATTTGTCGAAAAAGTCACCAACACCACCCCCAAATAAGTTGCAGGCATTGGTAGCGGCAGCAACTGCGGTACAAAAATATCCTACCGTTTCCGGCGATGTAACTGTTACGCCGGCTAAAACTGAAAGTCCGCAAACTGTAACCAGTGTGCCAGCAAATAGTACGCAGCAACTACAGGTTATGCTAGAAGCGTAAGGTAGATACAATATGTATGTATGTATGTGCTAGTGAATAAGTTCACTATACAATTTTATGTAAAGAATGCATAGATAAACATTGCGCATGCACCAGTATAAAATATATTTTGAGATTATTCGAAAGCAAATATAAAATGTGCATGGTATGATATTAAGAGGAAAATTTGGATTTGTACCAAAACCTAAAAGTTAATAAGATTAGGTAACAAAAAAGAGAGAGACTGAATATTCAAGTATATATAAAAAATATGAAATATTTTAAAGTATTGATGCAAGATGGATATGCTACTTGACGTGAATGAATTAATCAATTTTTGGCATGATCTTAAATTAAAAAACAAAAGAAACACAAAAATTAACTTACATTTGTGTAAATGCATAAATATAAATACATATATCTTTTCCTTAAAACTTTTGAAGTTGATAGTAGTGAAAATTGATAAATAATTATGAACTATAACTTATGTATTAGATATAAAGAAGAACTGTATATGAATCGAGCGTGGATGTATTTTAGAAGATGTGGTAAAAATTGTGACAAAGAGTTATAAACGAAAGCATAAGGGAGAATTGCCATTTGCATTCAGTTTTTCAATTCAAAAGAAGTTAAAGATTTTTTATTGTATATTTTAAATTTTGTTATTATGAGTTTCTGAAAAATTTAAACAAAAATTAAACGTTTTTTTCACATATGTCTACTAAATATTTTGAACCAAAATTATTATTATTTTTTTTGTCATCCAAATATGTATTATATTGTATTATAGTAAACGATTGGTGTTTATAAAAATGTTAATGGCAAATCCTTAAAACCTAATGACTGTATCTTCGAAGCACACAAAATAAACTGTACAAAATGCATGCAATATAGATTTAAAAATCCATAACACCGTGACAAAAATAATTAATTATGCTACACTTCCTTTTAAATCTAATACGTATATGTATTTGCAGTGAAGAGAATAATTTTAATAGTAAGGCAATGAGATGTTTTTAAGATAAATGGCACAACGATATGATATTATATGTATGTTAACTTATATATATGCCGTATAACATTAAAATTGAGAACATATAGATACATTTGTGTATTTTATTGAATTATCTATAAATTAAATTCCGGCGCATAGGAATTCCCATAAAAAGCTCAAACGCCGTTATCGAATTAATTTTTTGGTCGGAAAAATTTGAGATCAATCAAATGAAACAAATGTTTGAAATCTAGATTTGCAAAATTTGGCAAATTAAATAAAAATGTCTACTGAATTAATTTAAGTTATTTATAATTTCTGGAAAGAAATGTTGTTCCAGTGGTCCAATATGATTTAATATTGAAAACTCTGCGAGTTTTTCAATAAGCAAAAAAGTTGATTAATGTTTAATTCTTCCTACTATAAATGCATAGTAAAATTTTGCTTTCATAAGCAGTTTTACTTTAGAGATCTTATTTTATAATAAAATTGTTTTATTGTTCGTTGGTTTGTTTTATCTTTATTATTAAAATCATCTATTTATCTGTTGGAGTGATAAATTTTTACGTGTTACTTTTCTAAAAAATATTTAATATTATTGTTTTCTAAATTTATAAAATGTAAAAAGTTCTAAATAATTTTAAAATGTATATATTGTATATAATTTTTCTTATTTAATAAGCATATTAAGATAAATATTCCCTAAGTTAATTTTTGTGTGTATATGTGTTTCTAATTATTGAATGTATTGGCCGTTGATGTATTGTTTAATTTAAAACAAGTTCTTAAACTTTCATTTATTCACATGTTAAGATGATAAGAGAAAGTGAATTTATTCTTATTAGTAATAGTAGTAGTATAGTGGTAGTATGCTATATTTGTAGTAGGTACAAAAAATAAAATTTTTTCAAATACACACACATATTAAAAATAAATTAAAAAATTTGCGTTTAATTTTTATGAGTTGAAAATTGATATATTTTTTTTATAATTTACTGCACCGGTATCTTAATATATACTTAAAGGATTTTTCTCCAACAATATTCTCTTAATTGATAACTTTTTACGCTAAATATGAATAAAAATTGTATTTATATATTTATGTATATAAATAATTTAGCTGGTTAGTTATTTCCTTAATACATATTTAATATCTTATATGTATTTTTAATAATATCACAATATCCTCAACTTGAAAAAACGTATAAGCTGTTTAATCAACCGTGTAACAGGAATGGAATTACATTATAATATAAAGAAACGTTGAACAAAAACTATACCGATAGGTGAGCAGAATCAAATATTTTGGAATGGTTATTATTTATAATATCAGTGTCACTTCGGTAAAGGGTTTATTAAAACATTCATACATAAATATATGTATGAATATACATATTTTTTTAATAACTTTAATAATTATGTTTCTCTTTTTAAAGCCTAAAATTCAATATTTATTTGCATTTTTTAAGGCGCAGTTATTGGTAAATTTGTTGTTGTTGCTTAGCTGCTTCAAAGTTCTCTTCTGTATACGATTTTACTGACAAAGTAAATTTTTGTATTTTTTCTAAAAATTTATCATATTGGGTATGCTAAAAAGTTTACTGTTACCTTTAGCCACTTTAGTACTCAGAAATAACGCCATGAACCATATGCATCTTAAAAAATAATAACAAACTAAAATTGGCTGTATTCCCTATTTTTTGATTCATTGCAAATTCAAGACGTCTATTCGACATACATACATTATGTACATATAAGTTATTTGCCTTGCACAAAGAAAATACAGAAATGTATACCGAATAATATTATAATGACAATAGCGGAATATATAATTAAAATATTTTCAAAATTATTATATTTTATTCACAATTTTAATTCTAAAAAGAGTATCTTTCAAAATGTTGTAAATAGCTTATCTTATAATCACAATATTAATAAATCAAAATGAATACATATTATTGGAAAGATTTCTAGTATCACAATCGTCATAAATTTGTATGCATATTTACGTGTACACAATGGAATACTTAAACTTATGTATGTACACAAAAGGGATGGGTCCAGTTGTGGTAATACAGATTATCAAATATAGATCTGATTGTGTGGTCAATATCCCTCCTGACACAATTTTAAAATCAAATACTCAATTGTAAAATCTTTTTACATTAAGAATATGCGATTTTAAAAGAGTATTAAGAAAAAAGTTTATAAAATACAAATAAGAACAAAGCAAAGTTAAAAAGCACTGTATATACTTTTAAAATGAAATAATAGTCACATTAAGCAATGCACGTTACTGTAAATCAAAGAATGTATATGAACACATTGCATACAAAACGAATACGTATAAAACGAATATATCAATCATAATAAAAATATTCGTATATGTAGGTATAATGAAAGGCCTGCCAAAATTGAAATTAGGGGGGTGGGGTCGTTATATAAAAAACCTTACTCATTGATTTGATATTAAATATTCAAATTATGAATGTAATGACATTTTAAAAACATCATGTTCATATATTTTCATAACTATGGATTGGAATCGAAGTATTTAAAAAAACATTGATTGAAGTTTATAAGATAATTAAAATCATATATATTGGTTGAAGTACCAAAACTTTTACAAGAGCCTGTCCACGACTTGCATATATGTATGTATGTATCTAATACATTCAGGCATATGTTTGAATATTTGAATATATGTATATGGAAGGATTTTGGTGTCAATCTGCGGGCACTGGAGCAATCTTATTTCTTAACAGCATATTATTTGTGAACATTATTTAAAAATTGTGAACTCTAAGATAAGGACAACATTTTTGTTGTATGAATATAATAAAATATAAACTTGAGTAAAAAATTCAACAAGTTGTTATTCAAAACAGTATATTGAAGAAAAGAGGCCAGGATAAAAATGTATCGTTTATGGTTTCCAGAGCGTGGTAAGTCTTAGGAAAAGTTTATTTTCATGCGTAAAAGTCTATAATATTACAAAATCTTAACAAATATATTTATATATTATATATACATATGTATCTAACTAACTGCCATATTTTGTCTTGTCTAAATCACCTGCAAATAATAGCCAAGAAGCCAAACACTTTTAGGTAAATCGCACAAAAATCGCCTTCAAGTGAGTATCATTTCAGAAATACTGTATGAGCTGTGTCAATGGGTGTACAGGGTCGGCCGTCATCAGAAAACATGTTTTACCTCAGCAGGAATATAAACCTTTTTGTTGATAATTACGCACTCATCATATGTATATACAGCCATTTTTGCAACATTTTGATCTTGCCAAATTAACATCTTTGAAAAGAGTTTTTAGGCAATTAATGAAGAGGGAGAGTTGGATTAGTAAAATTGGGTGATGGCAATATCTTATGTAAAAACCGTTAATAACACTATTTTCAAATTAAGCATCACAATTCACTAAAATACTTTTAGCGTTTGCAATTTATTATTTGTTTTTATTTTAAAAATTTGTTTAAATTAAGAAATTTATATGTCTACTACATACCTACATGTACGCTACTTTGTTAGCAAAAATGTTAACTTTGTTTGTATGAAAATGTGCACATATAGGCACATACATATACATATATAAAGATGAATAAAAGAAAAACAACTTATTTTACTTTCACTGGACGAGCAACGGATGAGTTCAATGGCAGCTAACAATATAATTTTTACCTTATTGCAACGTGTTGGTGCCAAATATGGCTCTTCACTTTCGTTTCGACCGAAGAAAATGAAAATGCAAGAGAAATGCCATTAAACAAATCGAAAGCAGGGTATTGTGCCACATATCCCAAAGTGCGTGACTTTTTAATACATAAGTATGTAAATACCTCCATATGTATATCAACATCAATCGTCACGTCACAATTCAACACAGTCAAATAACAATAAAAACTCAAACCCTCGTACGAGTATCTATGAATAAGATAAGTATGTACATATATACATACTTGTATATATTTTTTTAAGCATCATCAGCCATTATCATATTGATTATTTGAAGATCTAAACTTTGTAAATATTTTTTTTATATTCTGATTTTGTGTCCTTAACATAACATAAGTATAATTGGAGCACATTTATGCTTATAGTACTGTAAAGTAAATATACCTATAAGTAAATACAAGTATATACATATATACAATACAATGCAATACATGCAATATTTTAATTAAAATCGAATTCGAAAACGAAAGCTGCATATAGTTTCGTTAGCAGCATATTTGTATGTACATACATATGCATAGACGTAAACTCGTACACTGACCTGGTTTTCACTTTTAAAATAGTTGCTAGTAATAAGTTCAGTTTATTGGACAGTCAATCGTTTTGTATTATCGTGCTTTCTCATAACTTGTGATTTCGATTCAATTTGGATGATTACCATCTGAACATCAACGAAATAACGGGAAATCGTCATCCACTGTATTTTTAATTAGCATATGTGTATGTATATATGTATATATATATATAGGGCAAATGCAGTAATAAGCTCAACTTAATGCAATAATATTCGCATTGTTCACAAGCACACACATAAGTAGAACATATGTGAATATAAGTTCTTTTAAAATATGCAGGCAAAAATATGTATGTACATAATATATGCTATATACTTATATGAAAATAGAAAGTAAATCGTATTTACTAGCAGTATATAAAAAAAATCGAAGAAAGTGACGTTAAACGCTGTAAGCGCCAACCTGAATAATAAAGCACATGAAATAGCTTGACAAGAAAGTTATAAAGGCAAGTATTATATATATTATACACACATACATATACATATATAACGGTGTTATAAAAACCTGCAACCAACCGGCCACACGTAGTTAATGAGTGAATAAATGAAGGTGGATAACGAAATATGCATCAGCCAAAAGCGATACGAAAATGAAAATACAGCTTACTACTTACTATATTTTAGTTTTGGAATCAACGTAATGTGATTGCCCGGAATTTAGAGCACGCAAAGTTTATTGAACTTATAAGAAGAGAAAAGTGAAATGGTAGGAAAGGCGTGTGATTAATTGCTAGCCAACTTATTTTTCTTCGAAACAAATATGCAATAATAGAAAACAAATTTATATTAACAATATCTTGTATTTAAAAGTTAAACGCTATTGCGTTATGTACTCGCAGAATGTGCGAAGTACAGCACGGGATATTACAATCGATTCTTTACGATCGATATTTACTTTACATACAATTGAAAAAAATTTATTTAAAAATCACCACCTTCTGCTACTCTAAATGGAATAAAAATTCAAACCATAGTTCATCTTATTGCAAAAAAAAAGCAACTGCTTCATATGAAAATAAGGATGTTAATAGATAAAACCAAAGAGCTTTTTATCAAAATAGCGTTTGCCGCTCAGCAGCCAATTTCAAACTCCTAACTTCTTATTTCCTTCGTTCACTTTCAATGTTATCAATAATACCATTGTTTATCCAGATTAAAAGGTGATAAGCCTTCGTGGGCTTTCGCTACAATCTATTTTATATGTAGAAGTTGGAGAGTATTTTGTCTTGCCTCATAGCTAAAAACGTTTAATGTGTAATGAAAGAGAAATCTAAATTAATAATATTTTTATTTGCTCACAATATGTTGATCAGATTATAATAGTTCTTTCTTTCTAAAGAAATTTTTGTACATATCATCATACAAATTCATGCCACTCGGTATATACGGACATTTTTATATATATCTGATTTTTCCAAATATTTCCACTACAACACTAAAGCATTTAGAAACAAAAATTGCGTGTCCATGACCCCATGAGAGACAGAGTGAAGCCTTGTACTTGACCATTAGGACATTTAATCAACTGCAATGAACTCTGTTTCCAGTTTATCGAAAGCTTTTCCATTGCTCTTAATAAGGAGGAAAAGAGAGGATAAGTTGTAGCTTTTTTGAAG